ATGTCCCTTTAATTGAACGCCAAAGCATATGGTTTATGCAGGACGGGGCGCCACCTCATTACCTACATAATGTAAGACAACACTTAAATGAGTTGTATGGAGAAAAATGGATAGGCCGAGGAGGTCCTGTTCCCTGGCCTCCACGTTCCCCTGACCTTAACCCCCTGGACTATTTTTTGTGGGGTCAACTTAAGGCAAAGGTTTATAAAATTCCAATTGAGACCATTCAGCAACTACGGGAGGAAATTGAAACCGCGTGCATGGAAATAAGGCAAACACCTAGAATTTTCCAAAGAGTTCGCAAATCATTGAAGCGTCGAGCTAGATTATGCATCGAAATGCAAGGTGGTCACTTCGAGCAGTTCTTGTAATTTAACTTATTATTACTAATTTTAATCCCATTATTTTCTATTTCACATTTAGCTATTGTCTGCAGTAGTAATTAGTTCTTTAATTAGTAAGTGTAACTCTAAATTTAAATAGTCTTAGTTTATGTCCTAAATTATTTATTAAATGATCGGATCCTTCATAACTGCAATTTATTTGAAAAAAAAAACAGTTTTGTTTGAGCCGTTTAAGGGCATATAACTTACTAAGGGTGCGTTTTAGGGCACATGTTAATAGGAACTTTTTGGCTTATTTTAATGAGTTATAAACGCAGCAGAAGTTTGGAACCATATTTTAGAAACACCCTGTATGTATGTACATAGGTATAACAAAATAATGAATAAATAAATATATCTTAACATAAATAATTGTGTTTCAATGCATTTAAAGGTAGTAGGAAATATGTACTACCTATTTTATTCGCTTTCGTTTTTATTCCCGATTGTACTTTAAATTCCATCACTCGTTCCTCTAACTTTTTATATGTAGTGAGTGCTCTCACACGGTTGGCATCTCATACACCAAATAAAATTGAGCTGTATTATTTTTACTAAATATTTGTGCCGAAAATCATTTTAGGTAAATACAAAATTTTTCAATCTTGTATTCATGAAATTCATAATATCTAATAATCTAGTCGTGATTCATTATAAACAATGTACATGTAGCTACAAGGTTGCTACAAAAGAATTATTAAGTTTTAAAAAGACATGATTCCGAAAATATTCCACTTGTATAAAATGACACATAAAAGGGAGAAAATGTTATCAGTTTTAAAATACACGCTCATCGTTGGATTCACAAAATGTAGATCTCGACTCCCTGAAGATTGTAAAAGAAGTCGCAGGGGATTCATTAAAGATTTTGAAAAATATATTAATATAAATTTATTTTACTTGTTTAAAAAAAAAATTGAGAAATAAATATTTTGTTATTCGGGAATTAATTTATTAAACGTACAGATAATTTTTCAACATCAGTTCGAGGAGAAATGGAGGCCCTATTTCAGCGTAGGTACACATTTCTATTATTTTCCAATGCTAGGTTATTTCTCAGCTTGATTTTGATAATAGTCATCAATACGAAGTTGCAAATGGTGTAAAAAATTTGAAGGTATGTTCAATTTGTGAGAAATACTGTCCACAGTAGTCTCGCAATTGAACACAATATCTGATATATTCTATTTTTAAACTAAGAGGAGCGTTTTGAATATTGCGCGCCAAAATGGTGGTTTCTTATTGGTTAATTTCGAGCCCACTTTACACTGCTAATAAATTTTACATTTTGACATTTGTTGTCGTTTTGCCTCTTAGTTATCATCAGTTCGTTGTCATTGTATTTTTACCGGCCTTTCTTTCTATTTATTATCCCAGTTACGTATAAATCAGTTCTTATCAGAACTAAACAACTTATTATATTGTTTATCATCCGTTTTTTCCAATTTTCCATTGGATATGGGTGATGCTGTGCCGACCACGAGTAAGGCAGGCGCGGGAATTACATCGCCGTCGCCCCCAAGGAAACGAAAACAACTCAGTTTGGGGCATTTGTTTCTGGCAGAAAAGCAAGCAATATTGAATTTGTACAAGAAAAGCCTAGATGATGAACCTACTCTTAAAACTGTCCAACTTGTATCCAAAATAGCGATGACATTAGGTAAATTTATGTTAACATTATTCTGTTGAACTATATTACACATTATACTTTTTTAGGTGTTGCAAAATCAACAGTATATCGAGCCATAAAACAGTATAAATCTACTGGAAGGGTGTCTACTTCCAAACACNTGGAACAATCCCTCCATTTTTTATTTTCCCTAGAATACACTTTAAAGAAATTATGTTGAAAGAAGGACCTACTGGTGCAAAAGGAGTTGCAAATCCTACTGGTTGGATGACGGAGGAAGGATTTCTAGATGCAATGAAGCACTTCGTAAAATTTGTAAAGCCAACTGCAGACGACCTATGCTTGATTTTGATGGATAACCATAAAACGCTTATTACAGTTGAAGTTGTCATGTTAGCAAGGGAAAATCATATAATTATACTTACAATTCCCCCACATTGTAGTCATCGACTACAACCTTTAGATGTTTCCGTATATGGGCCCTTTAAAACCAGATATAAAACGACAATGAATTCTTGGATGTTGTCAAGCCCAGGAAAAACCGTAACTATTTATGAAGTGGCCTCATTTGCTAACGAGGCTTTTCTTCATGCATTCTCGCCAGCAAACATAACAAAGGCATTTTTAGCAACCGGAATACATCCATTCAACAGAAATATCTTTTCTGAGGATGATTTCTTGTCTTCATATGTGTCAGATCGGCTGGATCCAAGCACTTTAGAAGGGATCAAACCTATTGCTCAGCCGTCAACGTCCACTGTTACAGCTTCAACCCCACAACCCTCAGAAGGTGATGTACAGCCGTCTACTTCGAAAATTACTATAACTCCCGAACAACTAAGGCCATATCCTAGGGCACCTCCAAAGAAAAACATCCAGCGGGGACCTCGTAAGGGAAAAACGACAGTAATCACTGACACACCAGAAAAAGACAAACTTTTAAAAGAAAAAGAAGCGGCACTAAAAAAAGGTCAAATCCAAAAGTATCTACGGCTACACGATTCAAGTGATGACGATTTACCATTACAGCAGCCTACTGATGAACTTCCTCGAGGTCAATATTTCCGAATTCCAAAATTAAAATCCAAACCAAAGGAAAACAAAGAACCCAACACTCAAAACAAAGACGACAATAACGCTGTATGCGTTTGTTGCAAGAAAGCATACAAGTGTAGCGTGACAGACTGGTTACAGTGTTTCATATGCTCTTCATGGACACATGAAACTTGTGGTATTAAGGGTATTCGAAATTTTTATTGTAATAACTGTTCCTAAGATAATTTCTGTTTAAATAAAAATATTTGAAGTAATTAATATCGTTTAATGCGAATGCAATTTTCAAAACCACCACTGTCCTTTCCAAAACCACCACTGTCCATTTCAATACATCGATGTTTTGAAATGGACGAAAGCAACTTTTTCCAAATTTAAATATTACTCAGACTATAAGCTTGCCTATATTTTTTTAATAGTTAATTTTAGAAGCATATTAATAGAGCTTTCCACTTATGCAGTTTTAAATAATTTCATTGCGTAAATGATTTTAACTTCATTATTTTTAATAAAGTGTCCACTTCATCCCGGTTCTCCCCTACTTAATAACCCCATTTAAAAGTAATGAAAGCTTATTGTACTCAAAATAAGGTTAAACACTTGCAGTGAGTATATACTTGATAGTTTGATGCCACAGAAGTTTTATCCAGTTTTATCTTCTGTGCTGATGCTATCTGGGGTAGTTTTTAGTAACTTTTGCAGTGTAAATTTGTCTTTGGCATTCACTCCTTTTAGTTTAAAAATAGAGTATAGTGGCTATCGAAGAGCGGTATACTAGCTATCGATAGTGAGCGGGTTTAGAGGTGCTCTCATGTAGATGCACTACACACTTGTCTGGATAGATTGTCTAGAAAAGCATCTTATGCTAGCTCAGGATATTCTTATATTCGTTAAATTAAGTTATAAAATTAACTGTGACCTAAATTGTCAAAAAGATAATTCTTAGTTTAATATTGTATCAACAGTATCTTAAATAAATTCTTTAATTTAGTTGTAATTTACGGCAACTGATATAACTTTCTAAAATTGGATTACTATTCATCTTTGACGTTCATAGTCATCATCGAGTACCTTCCGCAAAATATACAGCGATGTTGTTTCAAATTGAACAAATTTAATCCACAATAAGCAAATTTTCAAGTTAAAGTGTTTACAAATTTACTCGTAGGTCTTACGGTTGGCGATGTTTTCGTTTGGGGATACATTAAAGATATGATTTATACGCTGCCAATGACAACTCCGAGAGAACTGCATCGATTACGACACACTACAGAGTGTGACGTCGTGTGACTCGGGGAGATCACATTGAACATTTGCGAAGAAAAACTTTTTCTCTTCCATTTCATGTGTCATTTAATATTAAATAACTTTGGGAAATATATATTTCTAAAACCAGATAATTTTTTTGGTGCACAAATCATCCATTGGTTTGAATAATTCATAACTTTCGTATTTTCAAATAAATGTGGAGATCTTTTTCAAAGAAATGAAGCACACCTTTTGTAAATATTTGTTACTAATTGCCGAAAATGATATTCTGCACGAACAACTCATGAGTTCAAGGGCAATATCCAAACGGAAGTGAGAACGAAAATGGCGGCCATTTGCGGGACATCATTTTCCGCAACTAATGTCCGAATTATATGTCTCATTCCTCAGAAAGAAAATTTAAATTTATTTGAAAACAAACAAGTTATGAATTACTCAAACCTGTATGTGACTTATGCACCACCCTGTATTATTGGTAAGTATGTAACACTGATCGGCACCACATTGTTAAAAATAATATAAAAATTTGTTAAAAGATCTGAAATTGTTTTAGACGTGTTGTACTGGTTTTTTATCGCAAACTATGCTTAAAGAAAATCGAACATTGATTACAGTGTGCTACGAAGCGACTTAAAAATTAGATACATTAAAATATTAAGCCTTACCTGGTATCTAGAAGAAGCCAAATTCGGATCATTGTCCCTGTAGAGCAGCGTATTAGCGGGAGGACTTTCTCCTGCAGCTCTTTCGATGCTGTACATATCTTGATACTGATGTTGGGTCAAATATTGAGGTCCATTCGTATAGCCGTTGTTATACTGAGCCGTTTCCAAATTGGCGTAATCAGCCTGAGTCTCAACGGTACTCGGGAGTTGTTCGATTTGCACCGTCGTGTATCCTATATCTTGCTGGTAGTCACTTTGATTTTGATACGGTTCCTGAGCTATAACCTCTACAGCGTAAGTCTTGGTTTCAGTGAACTGCTCCTGGGATTCAGTTTGAAGTAGTTCCGGATACTGTCCAGATTCTGTTTCCTGCTTTTGGTCCGTGGGACTCTGTTCTTGAGGTGTAGAAGAAGTTTTCACTACTTCTTCCGTGGAAACTTCTGTAGGTTGCTCCTCGTTATTCTCGACAATTGTTCCTTCATCGCAGATGACACGTCTTCTTATGACAGTGGTAGGGAGCGGTTGCTGCTGCTCCTGCTGATCAGCCTCTTCTACCTTAGGCTTCACTTCCTGAGGAGACGACTGCTGTTCTTCGTTTGATTCCATTTTGCTGCGAAACGTTTTTATTAAATTGTATAAAATTATTGTAAAGAGCAACTAAAGGTTCTACTAATTACTAAAAACTAAACTGCAATGACCTGTCTGTAAAAACAATTGTTTGAAATAAAATGTGGCATAAGAGTTTAGTATTTATTGTGCTTCACGTAGCATGTAGGTGTTTTTCTCCTTAATCCCTCTGTAAACATTCAGAGAAAGATAAACCGTCGTTGTGAGGAGAAGTTTAATATTTGTAATGTTCGTACGCCATCAATAGTTGGACAGGCGAGTTAGGCATATTATAATTTGACGTTTCACTCAAATATTTGTTTGGTAAACTTCATATACGCAGTGGATGTACTAACGTGGAATCGGAAGGTACGGTGTAGGTATATTTGAACAACATATCCGTTTCCCGCTCGCGTGGCATATGGATTTACCTATTTTTTAGAATTACTATGTTGAGCTACACCCAAATTTCAAACAATGATGATGAATGACTCGGTATTTCTGTTAAAATTGGTTTTAATACGTTTACCCGTATTACTAACATCTTTATCTCACGCAATTTTATAAGTTGATAAGGAGTTTCACTGCAGGATATAAAAATCGATATAAAATGTTCTTTATCAATATGATATACAGTTATCTTTAATATTAAAAAATATGTTAATCACGAAACAAAGCTTCAAAATCTTATAAACGACTTATAAAACGTATTTATCAATATGTTTCAGTGAAAAGTTTGTGCAAATAGTGGGTGTCGTCAAAACTTGTCTCATCTTGCATAGTATTTAAACAATAACACAATTTATAATTATTAAAGTTAATTAAGCAAAATTACTTGAACCACTAAGTAAGTTGTGAGAAGTACATTCCAGAGTCTTATATATTTAAAACTTTATATTCTTATTAATATTTGAATTGGCAGATAACACCTGTCCATATTTTTCTTTTTTTTTTCCTTAACTGATCGAATCTAGATCTCACTGAATATTATAAAAGTATAAATACCTTATCAACACAATAGATAATATTATGTTTTTGATAAAATATTTAATCTTACATAGTATTTCGAGTGGCAATTACTTGATATAGTAGGGACTTTACGCCACTAACTTAAAATGATAATCCATCTTAATAAATTTAGTACCTACTACTAAAAAAATTATATACATTATCATTTTCTAATGTGATCAATATTAATGTACAAGATTAGAATCTTTAATAATGATTTTTTAACTGAAATTTATGGGAATTATAATCACACTTTTAGTCTGCAAAGAAATGAATAATCTGAAAAATTCAGTATTATAAAAGTAGGGACACGAAAGTATTTCATGGACTAATTCCTCACACAAAAATAGGAAAAATAATAAATTTATGCGATTTTAAATAATTCCGGAATCTGTTATATTAAAAAAAACAATCGATTCATTGAAATAGAATTATTTTATAGAAAGGTATTTTTTTTTTTTTCAAATAAAAAATATTAGTATTTGCATATAAAAATTATAAATAAACTTTTAAAGCGTTACATCTATGGCGTATACTCTAGTAAATTTATTCTAGTTTATTTACTCTATTCTATAAATTCTAGATCAACTTTTAATTTGTCAATATTTTTTTATATTAGTTGAAATTTTCATTTCAGAATGTTGACTCCTAAACGTTGACGCAGTGTCGTTGTTACATACTGTAGATTTTTTAAAAACCTTATTTATCTATAGAGAAAGTACGGTGCGGTAGTTTCCATATGGCTTCAAAGTGCAAAATAATCGATCTCTCGATTTGTTTTTAAACTTTGTGATGTTAATCTACCTACTTTGAATTTAATAAGACCCGTTTTTTTATTTTTCTCAAAAACATTTTTGGAGCTCTGTGGCGCCATGTCAAAGTTTACATTGTGTCAGCGTTATTCCGAAAATTAAAATACATATTATTATTCTTTTCAAAAGGCCGTTATTTTGACCAAAATCATCCTATCCATCACCTGTTTTTTTTCCAGAATTCAAATTGCTTTAAAACTTTTCGAGATAAACGAGAAAAACGGAAAAAAGTATTTTTTTCAAAATTGATTCTCTCAAAAACCCCACTTTTTATTTTCATCAAATTTGGATATGTTTTTGAAGGGCAAATAAGCTATCTTTTAGCCAAGCGGCAATATACCAATTTTCTTTGTTCGGGAGATACGGTTTCGCAACGACAATATTTCTACGTGTTTAAACCCCATTGGCTAGTCTTGTAGGTCTTTTGAAGACGAAAAAAAAGTACTGTTTTCTCGTGGAAATTAACGGAAAAAAGTTATAAGCGAAAAACCTGAATTTACGTAAAAATTATACAATTAACCACCCTGTAAACAATCTTCCCCCCATTTTTATGACTGTGGAAACTAATATGTTATTGTACATAATATTTAGCGTCTATAGTGATAAATTCAGCTTGCCGAAACAAAAAGTCGCGTTCAACTCCTGGACTATAATCGGAAATAGACATGGACAATGCCCTACTACCCGTCCATTTTTGGTATAAATATATTATATTAATGTATGGATATAGTCAACCCAAAACACTTGAAAACCGGAGGACGTAGTAACTATAATCTTTTGAAAACCTGAAACTTTTGCTCAAAACTTTAAACGCATTTTTCTCGAAACTTCTTTTTTCAACACGGTTGACACCATATCTCATGTTCTATTTAACCAATTTAGTTCTTTTGTACCAATCTTCAATGTAGGTATAACTTTCTATGAAAAAAAGAGTCGAAAAATATTCCTCAAACAGCCGCCAATTTCGAAAAATTGATTTTTCGTTTTCTGTTAGGTAGCAACTATAACGACATTCTTACTAATTAAGAAGGATTGCAATCAAACCAGCACACCCGTTTTTTACCCCCAACTTATTCAATTTTCAATTTTTATCAATACTTTTGTGTGTATTTTCAAAATATCGATAAATATGTTGTAAAAAATTTAATGTAAATATATTTTTTGTTTTTTTATCATGCTCGAGAAAACGTCCAAAATGTACCTATGCCTCTAGACCAGAATGCCCCCTTCACAATGTTATAGAGTTATACAAAACCATATTCTTTGGGTGAAATGAATTGAATTGCTCTCTGAAGCGAATATTGAAAATATTTATTTTGCACTATTTAGGCAAGGGCGCTACTCGAATAGTGGAGCAATAAAAAAACTTCTCTGTTTTCAAAATGATGACTTTCGTGTTCAAGATGAAAATTGTAGAGTACATTAGTTGGAAATAAAAAAAAACACAGTTTTCGATATAAAGACAATTTTTCATATCGCATTTCCACGCTGTATTAGCGCAAGCAATTAAAACAAATTCAAAATTTTTATTAAATAAATTTCCGGTATTGCATTGTATGTACAGGGTCGGAAAGTACCGATGGTCCATCTGCCGTTACGTGAGAGCGATAAAATAAGTCATAGAAATCCGTGCGATAGAGAAAGATGGTTATAATGAAAGCGTCTAATAGTCACCGCCCATTTCGCCCTTCCACAAATAAGAAGTGGATCTTATTTATGGAAGGGCGAAACGGACGGTGACTATGAGACGCCTTCATTATAGCCATCCTTCTCTATCGCATGGATTTATATGTCTTACTTTATCGCTCTCACGTAACGGCAAATGGACCATCGGTACTTTCCGAACTTGTATATCTAAATATGCTGACATTAAATACTGATATAAACTTATCTATCTTTATTTTTAAATACTTAGTGCAAATCAAAATCAATAATAAAGAATTCTTTATTATTTCCTGTATCTTGTGGGATTGGTATTTTATATAACAAGAACAAGTTGCAAAATTAATTCTAATTACTGGGTTAAAAATTATTTAAATATTTTGGAATTTATTCTCTCAAAAGATAAACTATGTGAATAAACTGATATTGCAGTTATGAGAGCCAAGTTAAAGAACAACGCATTACGTTTAACGTTTGGCAATACATGACTCTCTTCAAGGAAGGGGAGTGTAATCCGAAAGCAAATACGTACACTCACATTTATTAGCTAACACTGACTTTTCGAGAAACAATTAAGGTACTTTAATATAAATCAAAGAATGTCACATATACGACATACATTAATGCTTCGTACAACAAGCATTGTAGTAAGGTATTAAGCAAACCTAAAACCGCGAAGCTGTACATACATACACATTACACATGCATGTTAAAAATTCTTATTTCACAACTTAACAATATTTACAGTGATTACAGTTTTGGGTTAAATTTAACTATTAGTAATAATGGAAGAGAATTTTACAATGAGTTCGTCAGAATACGCTAAAAACACCTTTTATTGTATTACCGTTCGGTATCTTCAAAGATATAACGTAGTGTCATAAAAAATCGTACATCGGAAAACGAAACATCACTTCTTTCAATAATGAATCAGACAGGCATTTTATTATAGTGAATTTTATCTCAAATCGTTTTTGAAATGCTAATTTACATCAAGTAATCCGAAATAGAGGATCTTATAAAATTCTTATTTTTTAGGCTTAGGTACTTTGTCCCAATAAAGTATTGGGAATTTTAAACAACACTGGTTTAGTATAACATACCTAAAAAAGTTATAATATCTCATAAATCAAGCCCTAAATCAAAATTTTGCAAGTGTGAAACAAAAATAATATAAATACATCTCTTTCTTTCAAAAATACATATATTTTATTATTAGCTCTCACATGTCAGGACGTTTCTCTGAATGATTGCATTATCTGAGAATGTAAACATATCAGGTATGTGTTTTGAAAAAATTCTAGGGGTAAACAGGTACTTCGACTACCCCGTTCGCGCTTTGACATTTTGTCCAAATTTATGTGTTGCCATTAGGGTTTGCAATCCCGCATTCCGCGTTACAGCATTCCAGCAATTTCCCGCATGTCAATGAGACCTGCGGAATTCCCGCATTTGTGCGGTAATTCCCGCGCGGGAAATTTTTGAATAGAAAACGTCCGTTTAGCGACATAGCGCATGGCTC